CCAAAGCAGTGCCAGCAGCAGCAGCAGCCGAATCAGCAGCAGCAGCAGCAGCAGAAGCAGCAGCAGCAGCAAGGTATTTGCGTACAGCTATTTGAGACGGGGTGAGGGTAAAAGGAAGAGACTGCAGCAAAGCGTTAAGCGGCAGCAGCTCCGCAGGGGCCCCACACGAAGACGCTGAGACGCGGCCTAGCTGCAGCAGCAGCAGCAGCAGCAGCAACAGCAGCAGCGTCAAAGTCAACCAAAGCAACAGACGGACTACTTCCACCACCAGCAGCTGCTGCAGCAGCAGCTGCAGCCACAGAGGCAGATGCAGCTGCAGTAGCAGAAGATACAGCAGCAGCAGCAGCAGCAGCGGCGGAAACAGCAGCAGAACCCGCTGCCAGACGAAGCAGCAAAAGCAGCAGCAGCAGCAGCAGCACGGACTCTGCTGCTAGCTGCAGCGACAGCAGCAGCAGCAACAGCAGTCGAACTACTGCCACCAGAAGCTGTAGCAAATGTCGCGTCGCTGCCTTAATAAGCAGCAGACGGAGCAGCAGCAGCAGCAGCAGCAGCAGCAGCTGACCTGCAGCAGCCTGAGCTCTGCTGCTAGCTGCAGCCACAGCAGCAAATCAAAAGCGATGCGTCTGCGAGCCAGCGGCAGTTCTGCTGCATTTTGGGGACAGTGCAGCCGCCTAAGGGCCTCAGCGAATGCTGCAGCAGCAACAGCAAACAAGTGCTGCAGCAGCAAATGGCAGCAACGGCTGCAGCAGCAAAAGCAGGCAAGTGCTGCAGCAGCAAAAGCAAATCGCCGGCTGCCAACTCTTTTTGGCTTCAAAGACTGGCTGTGTAAGGCCACGAAAAGGCAAATTCAGAGAAACCTGGGATCAGCAGCCGCAGCAGCAGCAGCAACAGCAACAACAGTAGCAGCAGCAGCAGCAACAGCAGCAGGAGTTGCAGTGCGACACGTTAGAGGCAACACTAACTGCCACAGCAGCAACACTGACAGCGGCAGAAGCACCAAAGGCAGCACGAGGCGAAGCAGCAGTAGCAGCAAGAGCTGCTGCTGCTGCTGCTGCTGCGTCAGGGGTTGCTGCTCCCTCTCCTGCTGCAGCAGCAGCAGCGCCACTTACGCAGCAGCTTTCTCTTCTCTCTAAAGGCCCTTGGCAGCAAATCAGGAACCCCACAAACTGCTGCCAGCAGCTGCTGCATTGCATTCTTCAGCAGCTTCGTCGGCACAGAGGGCACGGGCGAATATACGGGAAACAGATGCTGCTGCTGCTGCTGCTGCTGCTGTTGGTGAGCAAGCGGCAGCTTGCAATCTCTCGTTGCGCCCTGCGGAACAGCTCTATGGCAACTTTTGAAGCCTGCAGCAGCAGCAGCTGCTGCTGCTGCTGCTGTTTCTGCTGATACTGCTGCTGCTGTCACTGCTGCTGCTGCTGCTCCTGTTGCTCTTGCAGCTGGATCTGCACATGCTGCCTCCCTGATAGCCTCCTCCTCAGCAAGCGCCGGTGCTGCTACAGCTGCTAAGGTGTTGCTGTTGCTGCTGCTACTGCCGCTGCTGCTGCTGCCGCTGCTGCTGCCTGTCGACGTCGCCGCCGCCGCTGCCTCAGCAGCAG